GGGCTTAAAACCATTCTTGTCCTAATTTAGGAGCAATTCTGTTCAACATGGTAGCATCCACAGACTGAAATTAGCACTTCCCAAATCCATTTTACACAGGGTCATATCCAACAGGCAGAGTGTCAAAAGTCTACATATCAGTTTTGTGTAGGATCCAAAGCTGATTTCCACAATGAAATGTACATTTCTTCAAATATTCACATTTTTAATAGGGTAGAGTTGTCTTTAAACACTAAAGCAATATTAAAATTGTTAATAAATGCTAATTTTTTTAATGTTGTGAGCGGGATTATATACAATCAAAATGTATTATTAATCTTCTGTGTTTTTAAAATGAGCTGGTGAAAATTAGTAAAATTTTAGCTGTTACTCATTTTAAAACCAGTTCTATGAGCAACTTTCAGTGACGTAGATAATGTAGAAAACATTTGTCCTGCTTTATGATAATGCCAAGTTGCTGTTTTGAGCAGTTCTGTTTTGTGTAATAATTTTCCACAAATGCCGGTGACCATAATCCCTTCTGTGTGATTTGTTCCTCTTAATAAAGTGTACGTTTTAGATTTTTAGTGCGGTTTCAAGAGCCCTGCCCCTCTGTGTCCTCCTCCAACTGCTAACAAACACACGGTTATAGGATGCACTGTAGAGCTTATACCCCTGGATGAGAATAAACCAAATGTATTAGTAACCATTGTTGATGTGAACTCAGAAATTATGAGGGGCGACATTATTGGGTGAATACTTTCATCATAGACATTGCCAGATACAATGTTGACAGCTTTGTAATATTACCCCAAAGTAAGGTCAGTGTTCATTCACTGGTGTTGATAGCAGTCACTGTTTGGGCTATGGAATCCAAAATCTTAATGACCAGTTAAGGCGCTCACTTACATAGACAATGTATTTTAACGGCAAAACTGAGGCATAGAAATCCAGCTGGGTGATAATTCATTGGACCACAAGGTTAAGGAGCAGAAAAAGACTGTTTGGTCCTAATGAGATGGCTCTGTCATTCAATAAGATTGTGACTGAATTGGTTGTGGACTTAATTCCACTTTCCTGTCAGTCCTCCATTTCCCTTGACTCCCTGGTCTATCAAAAATCTGTTTAATCTTGAATAAATTCAATTCTCCACCTCCACTATTTTCTGCAGAAGAGAATCTGATAGACTAAAGATCATCCAAGAGAAATTTCTCCTATCTCCGTCGTAAAGGTGAGACCTTTTATCGAACTGTGCACCCCAGTTTGGGGGTCTCCTGCAAAGAGAAACAGTTTCTCAGAATCCATCCTGTCAAGCCCCCTGTTTCAAGTAGGTCACATTTTATGCTTCTAACCATCAACGGGTAAAGGCACAACCTCTTCAACTTCTCTTCATGAGTCCTTCTTTCCAGGCATGTATAAAGTGAACCTTCTCTGTATTGTTTCTAATGTAATTATATCCCATTTCAAATAAAGAAACCAAAATTGCACACGGTAGTCTAATATTCTCCAGAGTCCTGTACACTGCTGTCAAATTTCCCTACTCTTCTATTGCACTCTTTTTGCAAGAAATACCCACCTTCTATTTGTCTTCCTAGTCATTTTAATGTACCTGCAACGTAACATTTTGTGATTTGTGTACCAGAACACCCAAGTCCCTTTGTACTTCCTAGTTCTGTAATATCTCTCCATTTAACTAGTATGTTTCTTTTCTTTGTTTTCATACCAAACTGGACAAGTTCATATTTTCCTACTTTATGCTATGTTTGCCAAATTTTTGCCTACTCACTTAACCTGTCTATATCTCTTCCCAGCATCTATACCTTCTCTTCACTACATATTTTCTTACCTGTTTTGCTATCGTGGGTATATTACATTTAGCTGCCACACATTCAGTCCCCATCTCCAAATCATTCACTCCAGATCATTGATATAGACTGTAAATAGTGGAGGTCCCTGCACTGATCCCTATGGTACTTCACTGGTCACAGCTTGCTAAAAGCTGAAAATTACCCATTTCATCTTAGCCTCTGCTTCCTTTTACTTAACCAATCCTTTACCTATGCTGATATGTTACCCGTTACACCATGAGACTTTATTTTGTGCAGTACCTTTTGGAAATCCAAGTACAGCACATTTACAGGTTCCCCATTATCCACCTCGCTTGCTACTTTTTCAAAGAACTGCAATCAATTAATTACACATGATTTTGTTTTCACAAAACCATGTCAACTGTACCTAATTACATTGTGATTTTCTAAGTATCCTGCTATAACCTCCTTCATAATAGAATCTAGCAATTTCTCTATGACTCATGTTAAGTTAACTGGCCTACAGTTTGCTGCTTCCTGTCTCCCTACTTCCTTCTCATGATGTTACATTAGCTATTTTCCAGTCAGCCGTGAGCATTCCAGAAGCTAATGAATTTTGAAAGATTAATAGCTAATAGTCCACTATGTCTGCAGCCATTGTTTTGAAGACCCAGGATGCATGCCGTCTGGTCCTGGGGACCTGTAAGAACTGAGCTCTGATAGCTTCCCCACCCCTTTTCCGTTGTGGTGATTGTTTTGCATTCTTCTCTCGCTTTCAGTTCGTAATTTTCAAGTGTCTTTGGGAAATTTTCTAAACCTGCCAAAGTGAAGACAGGTACAAAATAACTCTTCAACATCTACTCCTTGTTTTTCATTACCAGTTCCCCAGACTCACTCTCTAAAGGACCATCAATAGCTTTAATGTTTTATATAAATACTTGTACAAACTCTTGCTATCTGTTTTATATTAACGAACTAGCTTCCTCTGAGATTCTACTTTCTTCTTCCTTTCTTTTGTCATCCTTTGCTATCCCATAACATCCATCAATTTTCTGACCTACCTCTAACCTTTGTAGAATTATGTAGCAATCCTTTCAATTTGATCCTGTTCCTACCTTCCTTATTTAGCTACAGATGATACATCCTTCTTAAAGAGCCTTTCTTGCTCATTGGGTCAGTCTTTTCTGAGTTATTCGATGTCTCCTTTAAAAATCTGCCATTGTATCCTCACTGTAGTATTTTTTAATCCAGCTTCCTATTATAGTCATCTTTAATTAGGGTCAAAATACAAGTCTTGGGTCCATATTTCTGTCCTGCAAATTGCCGTAGGTCTTTGTGAGATACTGTTTTTAAAGCATTCATTGTCATATTCAATTCAGTCACAACATATGAGATATAATAAATACCTATTAGCCAGTTGTGGTCACTTTTAAAATGAATACATCAATAAAAATCATCTTCTTAGGCAGACCCTCAGAATTGAGGACGGCATGCTTCCACTCTAGTCTGATGGGTTCTGAGGTGGCTGATAAGTTGAAGATCTATAGGATCTGCCATGTGTGGGGCAGATGGTGCTTCACAGTCATGTGGGTAAGATTATGTAGAGAGATTAGTGCACTTTCTCCGATGGCATGACCTATCCCCTGCAGGTTCCTCCCATAGACTTTCAATGTGTTCAGTGACTTCATGAATGAAGCTGCTCTGTTTTGGCCCATCACATACTAGGCACTCCCATGATTCAGTGGGGATGTCTGATCTCCAGGGATGCTTTTAGAACATCCTGAGACAGTTTCTGTTGTTCTCCTGGGAGTCCCCTGCAATGTCCAAGTTCCAAGTGGAGCAGTTTCCTGAGGAGACTTGTGTTAAGATATGAGTGGCATGCCCTACCCAGTGGAGCTGATTTTGTGTGATTAGCACTTCGATATCAGGAACCTTGCCTTAGTAACACCTTTGTTGCTATCTGATATGCACAATCTTGCAAAGGCATGGCTAGTACTATTTCTCCAGGACTTTAAGGTGGCTGCTGTAGAGTTGTCAATTCACCAAGCATATTAGGAGTCACTGCCGCCTTGTAAACCATGACCTTAATCTCAATTTGGACTCGTCCAGAGAAGAGGCCTTTCCAATGACTCAGTCTTGATCTTAGTTAACTTCTGCATCAAGATAGACTTCAAATTACAAATACATTGGTGTTTGAGTTAAAGAGAATAAACTGACATCTATAATTATGTGTTAGCACTGACAACACAACATCTCAGTGGTTCGTCTAGATTCCCTCCAGTAGTCTGATGGTTCCATCAGTAAATGTCCCAATTGGTAGATCTTGGACGCTGAGGAAGTCTTGCATTTGATCTGTGCTACCTAGTGTGAAGTGTGATAATGGTGCTTCTGTTACTCTCAGTACTTCTGGAAGATATGAGGGGGAGAACTAGGTGATCAGCACATAGTGACCCCAATTGAAAGAGTGCGCATCAGCAGAGAACAGAATCAGGCTTAACCATAATGCCCGATGATGGGACAGACTGCTAGTACCTTGTGTAAAAGGTACCTATGGAGACATTGAAAGTGAATCCCAACATAAATCATTCAGGAATTCATCCAGATACAGCTCTCAGATGCAACCTATCACAAGCAAAGTGTTTGTTGCACGAAACATGGCAGATAGAAATTTTCTCTTGATTGCTTTTGCATTTTTTTTCCTTCAATGTTGAATCTTGTGAGCAGACTTTTTGGACTTGTTTGGCTGTTACATGATCAGCTCTGTTTTTTAAACATTTTTATTTCCATCAAAACATGATTTTGGTCCAATTATTTTCATTGAAAAATTTCCTAAAACTCACAAACTAAACTGGTGCAAGCTCTTCTGAGTCCCTAGCCTCATTTATTCATTTAGAGAATATAACTTATTTGTTACTTCTACTGTACTGTTAGCAAAATATCTCTTGAGTAGATGAAATATTTTCACAACTTTATTTCAAAAACCTCCAATTTCTCTAGATTCCTAAGCACGAAAAATCCCTCTTTTGTAAAAGCTCAGCCTTTTTGCTTTGTGAGTTCTAGTTTGAGCAGAGCTGAGATTTTCTTCACAGATCTGACTAATTCTTTTACAATTTCAGATCTTAAGAACATCTTCTGAACCTTAGAACACAGCATCCCATCCCCTCTTTGGCCTCTCTCTTTAGTCTATTCTTCTGTCTCCTATCTTCTTCTTAGGCCATGTTTGCGAGCTACGTCCCTGAAATCATAGAATTAATAGGAAACCGCAAGAAATATGGTGGTACCTATAGTGCGGTTAATGGAAGAAAGTAAGTATCCCATGGGCCTCTGCTGCCTCTGTTGCAGTAGAATACTCTCTGCATGCCCTTTTCTTTTTCTGTTTCATGCATGTAGGCAATGTTTGCTCGCTACGTACCAGAAATTGCTGCTCTCATCCTTAATCGGAAGAAATATGGAGGGACTTTTAATGCGACTCGAGGCAGAAAGTAAGTCGAACCAAACAAGGTGTGCTTGTGTGACCTCTGAACCCTTAATGGTGACCTCTGCACCACAGATCTATTCATTTGTTTGCGCTGTGATGTCAGATGTTACTGCTAGGATTGTCACACTGTCTTTGGAGACCTAGGTTATGATAAGGCACATGTCACAGTTGTTAACTTTTATTTTGTGAGTACCTGAAACAAGAATTCTTGTTGTTTTATTAGTCTGCAGACAAAGAAGAGGCTGAAGAAATGCATGGCAGTCAGACTGTTGTAGCTACCTTGTTTTTAGTTTTCTCCAAAGATAGGATAATATTATTGTCTTGAATTTCATGTTTACAATGTCACTTAGAATGATTTATTTCAAATATTTTTAAAAAAATATTTATTCTAAACTTGTAGTCAGTTCTTCCATTGCTCTGACATTTTCAACTACTTTATTTCCTGCGTGCAGCTTGTATTTTCCATGTTTCATTAAAGTCCATGTGACTCTTCCATGGAAACCATTTCATGAGAGCTTGCCAGAGGCTCATCTGTCACCAGTGTTCAGTTCTGCAATGCTGTGTGGTCTAAAACTGTGACCTGATCTTCAGTCAAAGCCCCCTATCCCTCCCTCCCCTTCCACTCCCCCAAACTCTGAAGGCCTTAACTCCTAGCCCTTCAGATTCTAAATGCTTTTGGCTTGCTTTACAGTCTGTCAGGAGCCTGCTTGGCTGACCAGGCATTTTGCTTTTAGATAGTTATTGTTTGTTGCTTCTGCTAATTTTTGTCTTTGTGAATTCCCTCAGATTTTCAATCCCACCCTAATTGAAACTCTGCTCTTTCATCAGCACACAAACTGCCTGGTGGAGATAAAATTCCATGAAACCGTCTTAATTTATGTGTGGTGTAAAGTTTTTAAGACCTTTAGTCACTTGGACTTTGCATCATTGCTTATATAGCTGGAAAACACTGTGTGAAAGTCAGCATCCTTTGTTTTTTCGTCTAATTTCCCCATTAGCAGAAGAAGATTGACGATATGTTATGTTTGGCAAACATTTTGATTTTCATTTGGAGCCTAATGTTGAGAGAATGAGTTGTCAGATTCTTCAGAACCCCTGCCCAGGAGATAAGAAAGACCATGTGGTTGTAATTTCCAGCCATGCAGCGTCTTTAACCACAGCTGGCAAGTGTGGCTTCTGGCCTCAGCCATGAAGGCTAGCTGGAGTTCTTGATTTTTGTATGAGTCAACTTTTTTTAATCAAGAGGAAGTTGATATGAAGTGACATTTTATAAACAGCTTATTTTCCAACTTTCTAATTTTAATGTATCAACGTAGCCCTGAACATAAACATTCATTTTGTACAGCAACAGAATGTCTAAATACCAATTAAGATAGCTTGCAGTTTGTTGGCTGTCACTATTCATAAGCAGTCTGTGATGAGAATTAGAACGAATAAAGCCTGCCATCAGATTATGAAGTTGCATTGCGTGAATCCAATGCGCCCAAGCAGGCAACCACTGGTGCAGACTGACACGCAAAGCAAAATATACCACGGTTTCTTCTTTGATCATCTCTCTGAAACTTGCGTTCTTTGAGAGGCTTTATCGCAGGACAAACCAACAGTACTTTCTGTGAAAACAATTATGCTTTCAATGCACAAATGCAATGACATGAGGATTAGAGCAGTAGACAAGAGGTATGGCTGAGTCTGGTGCTGATGCTGGAGCTGCTCTTAAACCTGTCAGCCCCTTGGGTTCTTTGTTGCATGGCTGCATTTGCACGTTAATTCACTATAACCGTGGTTTATTCTCCTTGTGTTTTATGTCTTTTGACTTTTTGTTGTGTTGTTTATTTCTTTCCTTTTTAATGTGAGTGATAATTGTGTTTGACTGCTGCCTGTTTCCAATAACATTTGTGCTCAGTCGTATTCTCCGCTGAGAGTTTTAAGCTGGTTTTGCCTCTCAAAATGTAAACATTGAAGTATTTGTCAAATTGAAGCACTATGATAACTAAGGTCAGAGAAGTTACATAGTTGCTTCCCAAGCCCTGCTCCCATCTCAACAAAAATAAATAAATGGACTGCCAGATATCAGCCAAATGTATGCATGTTCCACACTCTGTTTGTCAGGCATTGGTTGTATCTCTCTTTCTCTCCCTTTCCAGAGATCTGGAAACAAACATTGATGCCTATCACCTGGAAAATTAGAAGGGATCTAATTCCTGGAAGTTTCCCTCTCCTTACTATCACTGGTATTTTCAGTACTACTGTACTCAATTTAAGGGATTAGAAAAATGCTCTCCACCACTACCACTATGCCACCTGCTGCTTGCTTTTCTTTTACAATGTTGATTCTTGCACTGTTAATCCAACTGTTGTCAGCCATTGAGCTGTCAGGATGTGACATTAATGGTTGCCAGTGGTGAATGAAGATCATTCCTGAGTGCACCTATGCAAGCAGAGGACTAAGTTCACTGATTGTGGAAATACCTAATGGTTCATTTTTCCATCTTCCCTTTTAGTTTGTCTTTGGGACTTGAGATGAGTTGAATCGATATGTTAAACTTGTAACAACCTGTAAACTGAAGCTGGTGTAAGTGAGAAGCTTACTATCAGTAAAGATCCATTTAAAATTCATGAATTGCACTGCAGCTTTGACCTGTGCAATATTTAAGGTAGCTCGTCAAAAGATAGTAATGGTACCTATATGCCACAGCCAATTGAGCTTCGTGTGAATTAGCTTTATTAAAGGCACAATGTGGCATTTCTCATTGACGCTTTGCCACCTGTACCCTGTCCCCAGTCCCCCACTATTGCAGGATGATTAAATCCTGCAGCAGTTATAATGGAAGAGGAGAAAAGTACCAGGGTATTTTGCACTATTAAGAAGTCTTAACACCTAATGTTGTAAAATGTTCATTACAATCTTAACTATGTGATTAGGTGCAATATTCAGTCCTAAAACCTGATATAAACAAGAATTCTAATTTCGCAATTTATGTCAACAAGGTTATTTTGAAGTGTTCTACATATTTTAAAGTAATTTCTTGTGCTGAAACATTAGTGTGGAACCTGTTCCAAGTTACGCTCTTCATATAATTATGTGAAAAGTTAAGACTGAAATAGTGCTGCATCTTTACAAAAGAGGAAAGAAGTTTAAGTGGCGTCTATTCGGGGTTAATGTTCACCTGTTTCAGTGCTTTCCTCCACAATAAGGTAAGGATACTTTTATTACTCTGTTTTGCGTCTTGGTCATGGATTTTGTCATTGAGGGTCTGTTTCCCTCTTACTCTGGTGGTGGTGGATTTGTTTTAAAATGCTGGCTGTCTCGGCGAGGGAGGCCCCAGATAATTCAAATTACTCCTAAACCCTTTGGATACTGCATTTGTGTGTGAACATATTGCATTTGTGCTTTTATGATCAATGTCAGACAATTTAAAAATATGTGCTGAAATCTGACAGTCCAGTTATGTATTTTAATCTTGCCAGGCTGTTTCTGAGGATGCATTAGGTATCTGGTGATGGGTACCTGTCTGAATCTTGCAGAGTATTTGCAGGTATCCATCAGATGGCTGGCAGTCTGGTGGTTGGAATAGATCTGCTATCATTGCTATTTGTGAGTATGTATCTGAGTCCTCTCAGAATATTATTGTGTATGCATCAGGTGTTTGGCAGTCTGGTGGTGGGTATATGTCAAATTACCTGGTGGTTTAGAAAAGACTTTTAGCCCTAAGTCTCCTCCATTTTTCCGCAAAGCCCAGTCTGTGTTCTGCAGTTATGGAATCAGTGCCCCAGTAGAGCTTTTTGAATCATAAGACCCTGGAGTTAATGGCTAAGGCTGTTACTGTCACCCTGTGGTATTGCCAGCATCTTTCAATGTCTTCCCTTGAGCAACTGGTTCCTGCTGGTGCTGACAGGGTCCCAGAACTACTGACATTCAACTTCTTGTCATTTTTCCATTTATTTATAGAAGATAGCTAACACCCAAAAATAATTCTTTGTGCAATCTGAAAGAAAATAATCTATGTTGATCTTCTGTATTAAGTTTATCTGTTCTGTATTGATACTTCGAATTGATTCATTTCTAACGCACAAGGACTCTGCAACAGTTATAGAAATTCCTTACATTGGAGGTTTTGCATAGCATGACTGAACATCGAATTGGTGTAGTAGCATAATTATCTCTCAATGGCTAGGCACAAGTCCCCATAAAACAAAGTTCCCCTTGTTAAAAGATGGGTGGGTGGGAGGGAGATACAGAGTGATTATTTAATAGATATTTTCACAGCTGAATATCTTTTATTTAATCCTAGGCTGAGGTGAAGGTTTTGGCCACTTCAGAAGTCGTACGTGGGGTACCAAAAGAAATTTAAATGATAAGAAAATATCCAAAGTACCAGCTTAGTCTTTAATATTCGTTTGATTGTACTTATCACTAAAGCCTTTTCTTTTCTACTGGGAGAGTAGTGTGAGGAGCTTACCTGAAAAACCATATGTTTTTATTCTGATTTTTAAATTACACACTCAACAGGAGCAAATGTTTGTGGAATTGGCTGCCATTGTTTCACCAAAAGATAATTCCATGTTTCCTTGTTATTCCAATTTTTTTTTGTAAGATTATGATTTTACATCTTTAACAAAGAAGATAATTGATGTTGAATATTTCCCAAATTATCAATTATGTCAATTGGGAGCTAATCTAATGACCATATTAGTTCAGATGTGCTTTAATCTTCTGAACAAAGTTGCACACTCTTCACACAACATAATGTTGCTTAATGTTCTGTTAAGTTATTATATTTTTAGAAAAGTCATTCGTTTCTATGTGTCTGTAATTACTTCCCTTTT